TATATATATATATATACATACACATGGAAACTGAGATGAAGAAAAATTGGTAGGGGAATACTTGCCTCCTGGTGATGTTAGCATACCTGCAAATAATATATTATACGTATATGCAATATTGTTCTATCAAAATCTGAATCCAACAATGCATGCAGTCATCCCAAATCAATTTGATGAGCATTTCTAATACAACTAAATTGGATCAGATATGTGCCAAATACCTAAAAAACAAAAAGTAGATATGATGAACTGGAGTGATTTCCATGTATCAATTTGGATTCCGTCGAGGTTAAGTTATGGCCGAGTAAATTGCGAAACCTCATGTAAATAGATGGTAATAAGATTTAACAGTACCACTGTCTGCAAACACGAGGCAATAGTTGGATCACACCAAGCTATTCAAAGTCAAGCCGGTTGTTGGGTTCTATTCAATGTTAATACTCTGTAGCTAAATTTGTTGGGTTCTAGTCAAACAAGGTGGCTGTTTAGAATAGGATCTTCCACTCTGCGGACCCTGGTTTCCTTGCAATTTGGTCTGTCTTTTTGTCAAACCATAATTAGCCATGCCGTTGATTGGATGGAAGACTACAATTCAAGCTGGCAACTACTAGAAACTCAATCGACAAAGGTCGTAAAGAAGTATCAGTAGACACACAAGGAAAGATCCACCGAGTCAATAATGACTTGTAAAGATAATGACCTATATCAGCATACTCTTCTACTCCCACCAGCCACATTTGGGATTTAGTCTGGACGTTTTGTCAAACCAGAACAATTAGTTTCAGTTATCTTAGAGCCATCACATTGATTTGATGAAAGACTGCTTCCATTCAAGCTGGCAACTGTTGAAAAGTCAATCGACAAACAGAGAATAGCACAAGTATTCTGGTCTTAAAAAAAGTATCTAAAACAGTAGACATACATGAAATGATACGCTGAGTCAATAATGACTTGTAAACAATGACCTATCCCACCATCCACAATATTATGTACATGCCCTCCCTCCATCACACGGGGGCAATGAAACAAGAGGACCTACAAAATTTGTTTAGCTGCTCTTTACCCTAAAGCAGTCAAAAAAGAGGAAGATACCTTATTACATATTTTCATCATAATCACTGAATGTATTTACAGGAATGAAGCACAGGATCTCCGGTGTCAGTTGCTACCCTCATTTGCCAGCCAGCTCCTGAGATTACAAAGAGCCTCCGTCGACAGGCTTTTGCAACACCTCAACCTGGATTGCTGCTGTTCGTCTCGAGGAGGGGTAGAAGATGTGCAGTATTCATCGGAGAAGCAGATCACAATCACCGTGAGGTTGTCAAAGGTGTTGAGCCTCAGTGCTTCCATGACAAGCTCCCTCGCACACCGCTCAGGGTCATCGTGCCGCCTGAGGCCCTTTCGTACAATGCTCACGGCACGCTGGCTGGACATGACATCCCATATCCCATCGCAACCAATTATGAGGAACTCGTCATCCTCGGTCAGGACCGCTTGCCTGAACTCAGGCTCTGCAATGAGGGGTGAGGGAGAGCCTCGAGGCATTTTCAGGTCCCAGTCCCCCAAGGCACGCGTGACAGAGAGGACGCCATTGAGGTAGCCATCTTCAACAAAGCCTCCTGATTGCTCGACCCTTTCGCGCTCAGCTGCATGGATGGGTCTATGATCCTGAGACATATCCACTGCTTCACCCTTCCTACATAAAACTGCCCGGCAGTCCCCTGCATTTGCTACCAGGAGAAGCCTGCAAAGAGCGTGACAGAAATATAAGTATAGAGTTCTACACTGCCATGGAAATTAAATTTAAGGAATTGGAAACTTGTGTTGAACTGAAACAACAAAACAAATCAAATCAACAATCAAAGAAACATAAAAGTTATAAAAAGGGCAAGGGTAATAACATCTCTTTGTTAAGTGTAAAGAAAGATCATCATCAAGTGCAAACCTTTCTCAAATAGCAATAACAAAGTTGTACTAGCCCAAGATCTAAAACCAACTGGAAGAAGAAACCGGGACGGAAATAAAAAGGAAAACTGTATCAAACTTCTTCACCTTTAACTTGAAGACTTGGATCCTTTAGACTTGGATGATCTACATATCTAGGTATCATGCCTATTTATGGGTACCATGCCTATCCACGGGTGTAGAATAATAACTTAACCCAAGAGGATATTATCTTATCTCATTTGAATTAACTACAACTCTATTTAGCGAACTTATCTAAACCTCTTTTCTCATCTTAATTAATAAGATCCTAAGTAAACAAAGGGACTGCAACCCTATCTTACAAGATACAACTTAAAATTCTCCAAAGATAGACCTTAAAATTTAACAATAAGTTACTACATACTTTCCAAACACCAAAGCTGTGAGTGCAGTCGTCCCAGAAGAGCTGTTAATAGAGCAATCCTCAGCCAATGCAAGGTCAGCAAGAAGAAATGCTTCCCGAATTGAGTTCTCAACAGATACCATGAAATCGTTATCAGCTACTGATGCTTGGGGAAAGTTACCATCCTCAAACAAAAACCTAAGTGCATGCCTCTTGATGTAGGCTGCAGCATCTGGGCCTCCATGACCATCAAACACCTGCAGTCAAGTACAAAAGCTTCCATCATTTCTCATTTACAGGGTCGAATAAACACAAAGCAGTTTCCACTTCAAAGAGGAATCAAACGATACCCCATAGAAAGCGCTAGGCGTTGGGCACGTGAGCACAGATCCTAAGTGTGCTGAAAGATCATCAATACGAATATGCTCATCTTCCATGTAATTTCGAGGTCCAATGTCAGCAAAGCTGCCAGAACGGATGCTAGGAACAAATTGAGGCAGTTCTACAGACACATCAGAAATGGCATCTGATGTTCTCAAGTCCTACACAAGTGTGAGAGAAAAAACAAGAAATGCCAGGAGTAAGTAACCAAACAAGGAAAGAAAACACCAAATACACCACAATATAAACAACAAAAACTGCTAGAAAAAAATGGTCAAGATGGATGTATAATAGGCAGAATTCAAATCAATTATCCTAATGGAAAAAAACCTATAATTAATAGCAATACAGTAAATGACATAAGTCACATAGATCTGGAAAGATCACACATACATACAACCAGGGCTATTCAACAAATCTGAAATTCGGCATGATCATATCTAATTAACACACACACTTCATTGCTACAATCGGGATATGCACTTTTTTACAACACAGTTTCTCTTTAGCCGGTGCTAACGGAATTCAAGATTCTTCATTTGGCAAGAAAATCTCTTAACAGAGAGGTCAGGTGGAAGGTGGAACTTCAACAACATGGCCTATTCAATCAATTTTATACCAATCTGTAGTTGCATAAAAAACATCTCTTCATCAAAGATTCATTTGCATCATGAAATTTCAAAGCAGAAACAAATGGACAGGAAATTGGATAGGACCGGAAACCAAGTACAAAAAATCAACTAGCACAAATATTTCATCTGCACGTGAACCCAATAACAACTTCTTGAAAGAAAACAGAAGAAATCTACAATAAGAGCCAAATTACAATATCATGATCTTGGCCACATCCATATCCAACATCAAGAAGGTTGATAGAAAATAAGAACACAAGTAACTAATTACAACGATCTAAATATACATAATAATTTTCTAAAACAGGACCAAAATTCTATATTATAACCCCCTAAATCATCAAACCTTGAGAGCAAAAGCCAAGTAAAGCTAACTTGTAATAAGGGAAGTCCAAACAACCAAGAGCAATTCAGATCAGTCTAGATCTTTACATCAATATGATTCAATTAAGGCTATCAAAGAAGATAAAAGAAACGGCGGAAATCTCACCAGCTCAGAAACGGCGTCATTAACAGCCGCCGCGGTCTCCGATCCCCTCGCGTCCTGCCGAAACGCCGGCGACAAAGGGGCCGTCGCCGTCGCCGCCACCGCCACAGCCGCAGCGGAGAAATCAACCATCTCCTCAATCTCCTTGGCGATGTATCGGCACTGCACGTCGAGCACGGGGATGCTCTTGTGGATAACCTCTGCGCCTGCCACCATTTCGACTCCAAGAAATCGCCCGCTTCTCCGGCACCAATCGAATTCCCACGGCAAAAGATCCGATCCTGATGAGATCTTAACAGCGCCAAGATCCGGCTTCTTCTTGCTTCTAGGGTTTACCTCCGGCTTCCTTCTCCGATTGGGTTTCCTCGGATCTTATCGGTATTTCGAAAATCTTTTCGCGTAATTAAGAGGACGCGTTGCGTTCCACGCTGCATTTATAGGAGGTCCACGGGCAACCGGCGGCGACCGGTGGGTAAGTGAACGGTGACAGGCACGTGCGGGTTCATAGTCCGTCTCGAAGTCTGAAACGGGCATGTATCGACGGGCCGAACCGGTTGCTCGTGGGCGTATTCAATGACGAAAAAGTCCTCAGCTCCGACCCGGCACGCGGTGGAACGCGGGCCGCGTGACGGCCGTGGGATGAGCGTCGAGGGATCTTGTCGGGATTTGCTACAACTATGAAGGCTAATTTGGGGATCGGCGGATCAGCTCTGCA